TGTATATAAATTAGGGCTGTCAATAGATTAACATTTTTATTCAAATTAACCACAACCTTTTTCTGTGATTAATTGCAATTAATCGCACACGTCATGAAATTAAGGATATGCTTAATTGATCTCGTTTAACATGTTAATTTTGTCATTTGCTATCTCCAGCAAAGTAAACCAAAAGATTGAAGGGTGATTCTTACAAAACTGTATTTTCTGAAAACCTTTTTCAAGATAAATTTAGATGTCTTTCCAATAAAAGGACACTTGGAGACTCCAAAAGTACACCAAAGACCCAAATGATATAAGGGGTCCATATAATTGCTAAATTTATTCACACCAAAGCACACATGAAAGAAAAAAAAACACTGGAAAAACTTTTCAGAATTGTGTAGTATAGAAATAAAGAACTTGTTTAGGATATATTTTAGACAAGTCAAGTTGCGATACCAAACTGGACCACATAGAGGCACCAAAAAACCCTCAACCAACCGCCTTGAGCTGACTGCATATTCCCACTGCAGTACACGCATCCATTCAGAACGACTAAACAGTGAAACACCGAAAACTACACGAATGTACGGAAATGCCCGAGCATAAATACCATGTGCCATCAGTGCGTCAAGAGCGCTCATACACGCATCAATATATGGACTCATTAAAGGGGTCATATGATGCTGCTAAAAAGAACATTATTTTGTGTATTTGGTGTAATGAAATGTGTTTATGCGGTTTAAAGTTTAAAACACATTATTTTCCACATACTGTACATTATTGTTTCTCCTCTATGCCCCGCCTTTTTGAAACGCGTCGATTTTTACAAAGCTCATCGGTCTAAAAAAGCGAGGTGTGCTGTGATTGGCCAGCTATCCAGTGCGTAAAAATTACCCTTTCAGCCACTGCAAGAGAAGCTGGTCGTCCCAAATCTGTGAGTATCTATAGATTGTTCTCTTATTTTGATTTCCTCTGTATATATAACAATTTATCTCAGTTAACGTTTTTTTTCCCCCCAGTAATTACAGTTTTGGTTTACCATAATAACTCTGTTCTACATCTCTCGTTCTGTCAGGACATCAATGGAAATGAAACTCACACTCGCTGAAGATGAAGCAAAGCGTCCGGTAGCGAATCTCCACTGATCCGAGATCCAGCAGCTTCTTGCGGATTTCAGGAGCTCTAGAGTCCAGCAGCCAGCTGATGGCTTCAGCCAAACAATCGTCCTCCTGCAGACAGACAGACAGACGGACGCGTGTCAGAAAACAGACCATTAAAACACACTTACTGCAGCGGCGCAGCAACGTACCATGGAAAACAATCTGCTTAAGGACACCACGGCTCGGGCTTTCCCCTCCATGTCCGGGTGAGACAGCTGAACAAAACAAGACACAACATCAGACCGGAAGAAGCGGTGAAGGATCAGTGAACGTTCATCAGCACGGATACGTACGCCTCGCTCCATGGCATCCAGAATGCTTTCCAGGATCTCGATCTTCTCGAGCCTCTTCAGACTCAAATCATTCGACACACTGAAAGACAGACAATGAAAACCAATTACAAATTGAGGTGGTTCTGATTAAAAATATTAGCGAATGTTACTATTACACGCATTCCACTTCCAACTGACGAGATTTTTAGTAGATGAAAGGGATTTCTATATTTTATCCATTCAAGAAAGCGATCCGAGTTCAGCACATAAATGTAGTAATTATACATTATCCTGCTTATTACTTGCCACATAAGTAAATTATTAGACAAAATATTGATTTGAGTTGAAATATCTGAATGCAAAGTTTCCGTGAAGACCGCAGTTGCGAGCAGCGGCAAATTCAAACTAGACGGACATTTAAGGGAAGTCATAGCACTTATTACACATTTCACCACATACATAATTAAGGTGATAAAAGATATTGATTTAAGACAAAACTGTTTTAAAATCTTACCAGTTTGTTAGTTATCTTATAATCCATTAGTGTACAAAACAATCATCGCAAAAATGGCAGCAGCTGCATTTGTATGAAACGAGAGAGTGAGTCCGCGATACCAGGATGACATAATTAAATAATTGTACACATTGAATTTTAATATTTTCTTAGCTAACCAAACTAAGAAAAACTGTTCCTAGCAAGTGTATAGCGCCGACTTCAGTTACCCGGATGAGCCGGTTGTTATCGAGGGAGCTTTGATGACTGATGAACCGAAAAATTCAAAAACAGTTCAAAGTTAACTATTAAAAAGAAAAGCTGAACATAAGTTCACAACTAAAAAATGTGGTTTAAACTGTTACTGCCTTAAGTTATTATTTTGGAATAAATGTAAAATGCTAAAAAAAAACTAACTTGATGAGATTCATACTTGGCTTTAATAATAAACAGATTATTGATTACATTGTTCATGTAAAAAAATAAAATTGTTTTTTTGTATAGTGTAAGTAACATTTATGTAATCAAGACAATGCAACTGGGACATGAATTTACATTTGATAATAATAATAAAAAGGACTTTGCCTCATTTCAGAACACCACCAGTGAGAGAGAGATATAACTACATACATACACACACACACACACACACACACATATATACAGATAGGGCTGGGCGGTATTTCGAGTTTGTACAATATATCAATATATTTTTAATATGTGATGGTATGAGGCAACACCGTTTATACTGATACACAGTTTGATACGAGCGCATCTGAATAATAGCAGAGGCAATCCAGTTTGTCCTAAACATTCACGCTTTATATTAAGGGCTTTAAATAACTGGTAAGATATAGTTAACACGTCTAGTTTAGAGCGGCTCTGACAGACTCATGTGCTGCTGACAGATAAGATACTGTGCTGTTTAATGTGTTTGCGCTGTTCTCCTCAGTGCATAACTTACATTTCACAGGTATATTGTCCGTCTGTAAACGTTAGAAAGTCATAGGAATATTTCCATTTTGCTGTCAGGAGCCTTCTGCATGAGATTCTCTGCTAAACTTCACAGACTCCAGCGAACCAGCGCCGCCGCGCGCCAAACAGAAGCAGCGCAATCGAATAGGAGCACAATAATTCTGACTAAAATATACATTTTGGACAATGAATGTGCCATATGTAGAATCTTAAACCTACAAGTAAGTGCATTTTATGATAGCAAGATAGCAGTAATGGGGTAATCAAAAATAAAATGCAATTAATCTACATATATATATATATATATATATACTACCGGTCAAAAGTTTGGGATCAGAACGACTTTTTAATGTTTTTTACAGGGGTTTCTTCTGCTCATCAAGGCTGCATTTATTTAATCAAAAATACAGGAAAAAATGTAATACTGTGAAATATTATTATGATGTAAAATAATGTTTTTCTATTTTAATATACATTAAACTGTAATGTATTTCTGTGATCAAAGCTGTATTTTCAGCATCATTACTCCAGTCTTCAGTGTCACATGATCTTCAGAAATCAGTATAATATACTGATTTATTATCAATGTTAGAAACAGTTTTTGCTGCTTCATATTTTTTTGGGAAGCTGCGAAAACATTTTCAGGATTCTTTGATGAATAAAAAGTTAAAAAGAAGAGCATTTATTAAAAATAGAAATCTTTTCTAACAATATACACTACAGTTCAAAAGTTTGGGGTCAGTTAGGGCCGTCACGATTATGAAATTTGGCTGACGATTAATTGTCTAAAAAATGGTCACAGTTATTGCGATTAATTGTCTGTTTTTATGGCTTTCATTATATAATTGATTAATTTAAGGCTTCAGTAAATAATTAGGATGTTATCTTTTAATCTTTTTGAGTTATTATTTTGCAGTGTAAGATTACATAGAGTGTTCCAGATTCTAAGAATCAGCCAACACCGATCCAACACCAGCGCTGTTTGTTTCTACACCACTACAGCATATCAATACTGCGTTTGTGGAACTAATGGTCACTCTTTTAAACCCTTTGTTAAACGCACTCTGCCTGTGCACTGGCGCGACCACCGCGCTGGTCAACTCATAAACGCTGCAAGTTCTGTTGCATATGAGAAACATCAAACTGAAAGCATAACGAAACAGCGCTTAGAGAGTATACTCGCCGCGTCAGCACGAGC